ACACTGAGGGTTGCGATCTGTTGCCGGACATGGAAAAAGACAAAAGACAAAAAAAAAAAATTATAAGATAAATTTATATTAACCAACTTTGAAATATGTGCAAGAAATAAAAAGTGAGAAAAAACAGGTCTCACATACACACACAAAATATATATATATATATATATATATATATATATAAAATTATGATCTGATTTTTGTTAGAATATGCATATTTATAAATCCCTAGAAAATTTATATACAGTGTTTATCTCTGAGAATGGGATGGGGATGAGCAGGGGAGAATTAAATGTTCTGCATTCCAGAACTGTTCGTAATTTTACAAAGAGCATGAGTTAATCTGTAATTTTTAGAAAGCACTCAAAATTACCAGCTCTTTCTGATTTTTACACACAATGCTCCTAAAATTAAAAGTTAGTTTCGTGCCCAGTAACTCTGCTTAGGGTAAAAATGCTGAATGTGGTTTGGCTCTAAACATCAGCTGGGAGGCAGATCCCGCTGAGGCAAGAGAATTCTTTCAGCGTTGGAATGTTCTCTAATCATGCTTCTTTCTACATTAAAGTGGAGATTTGTGTGCCTTTGAATGGGACCCCTGCTTCGGCCCCCTAGTGGGGGTGCAGGGGAAACCAGCAGAAGCTCTGTATTCCTCTCCCTAGGACATCAAGTCCTCAGCAAGGCAGAATGCCTTGATCACTGAGGCCAGCTCTGACCACACGGGGGTGTCAGTGCCCAGGCTTTGCCCCACAGTCCCTGAGGGAAGAGGCCAACCTTCTGGCTGCGGCTGTGGCTGCTGCTGCTGCTGAAGCTGCTTCTTCCTTTTGGCTTCTAGAACTGGGTTCTCATATTGTGTCTTCCTGTTGATGTGGCTGGGGAGGAAAGTCAATAGTATTCAACATTTCATTCCATCAGCAAAATGCCAATCAAGCCAAGTCCCCTTGATTAAAACTGAGCAAGGCAGTGTGGTCTGAGATGCTGACCCTCGTGTCAAAACGCACAGTTAGGAAGAGGAAATAAAAATGAAAAGTCGCGATTACTGACTGCTTATATGTAACCAAGTACTGTGCTACCAGTTTCACATGCATTTTAAAACCCTTAGTAAATGCTGGGAGGTAAGTCCTATTTTTATTCATATTTTGTGGATAAGGAAAGTAAACTTCTGAGCAGTTAAGTAATAAGTCACCTAACATAACAGCTAGAAAGCAGCAAACAGGCATGCAAGCTCAGGTCTGTGTGCTTTTCAAATCAGTTTCTAATTTTTTATTTGATTAAAAAAAATTTTTACAAAGCTGTATTTGTATTTTTTTGTTTTAAAGGCACCTTTCATTTTCTAGCTATTGCCTTCTTGATATCTGTTTTGTTTTTAAAAGCTTAAATGTTCAATGGAAATAATTCAGTACTGAGAACGAAAATATTTTTCAATTCATATTTGAAGAGCCAGGTTTTCTTACATTCAGATTTTAATAAACTAGAATGACAGTCTTTAAAACAAGCATGCTAGCCTATAATGAATATTGTATACACAGTAACTTAAACATTTGAAACTATTATACTGCAAAAGCAAGCAGCACAACACTCATCATGCTCATCATTATCTGCTGTGTACACCACCTCCAAAAATGAAAATACAAAATAGTAAAAATGCACCTATGGTTATATATATGTATATATGTGTACTTTTTTTTCTATATATCCCTACAATATATATAAATATATTTATAAAATATATGTACATTTTAGACATTTTCAAATAAATCTTCACCATTATCTCCAAAAGAAATTTACAGTAAGAATACTAAAGGAATGAAAGTCAGATAAAAAATTTCTCACAAAGTTCATTATCAGAGATGCAGCTCAATTTCCCCCATTAGTCAAAACTAAAATGATTATAAAAGCTAAATACTTTGCATAACTAATTATCTGCTTAAAGGCAAAAAAAAAAAATGCTAAATTTGTTCAACAGAAAAATATTGAACACCACCTGCCAATTCCCAGGATTTTAACCACTGCCTCTCCCCAAATGTCCAAGGTATCACCTGACAGGGGAAGTTGCTTTAATTCAATGAGAGTAGACTATGGAATGATTGAAAAATGAGATTAAAGTGGATATGTGACACTGTCTGTAACATGCAATGCCAGAACTGCTGTGTAACTTTCTACAGTCGGGCTCACAGAATCATAAGCATTTGCCCAAACAATAAAGTTAAAAGAAGGACTCCACTAACATCTGTCAACTACTGTGATCAACAGACATAGAGGCAGGATTAAAAGTACAGGCCTTAGGCAAAGAGACTCCAAATATAGCTAACCTAAGCAGATGTGATGTGTTCAAAGTGACAAAGACCCAGGCCCTTTAGATGGCTACAGAACTAATGAGATCATGGCAAAAACAAAAACACACACACACACATACATACAAATGAATGCATGCACATATATGGTTTTTTGTCATGGCCTTATTTAGGGTGTATGCATATGTATGTATACATATTATTTACACACTACACAAATATCACACAAGCATACAAATATTCATATATGTGTGTGTATATATATATATATTTAGACTCAAAATAACATCTCATTAAAAGTTTGGGAACATACCTCTTATATGTGATTATTTAGAACTCTAAAATTTTTTAAAGACAGGCTTTATTTTTTGCAAGCATGCTTGTCAAATAGAATGGACAGATTGATTACCCTTAATTCACATTAAAGGCCTACTTGTTTCTTTCCTAATTCTTGTAGGCAATTTCATTCTAAAAAACAGCCTACAGTTAAAATGCAGGTGGATCTGAAAAGACAGAGAAAGAACTATATAGTAAGAAAACAACATCCCTCAAACCAACTCTCTTTATCCATTAAAGCTGTTGTTGCCTGTTCCTTTCGCTCTTAATGCACAAACTAGTTGAGGGACAATGCAAAATGAGCCCCAAATAGCTGAAACTCCACAGTATATCTGTGACAAAGATGATCTCTGGGGCACACAAGGAAATTTCTTTTATGAGGATCAGAGAAACAGCCAAGCTTGCCTCTCTGATGTCCCAAATTGTCAATCCTTCTTGTTAGGTAAAGAGGAGGCAGTATTAGTATTGGCCAAGGACATTTGTTATATTGAACTCACAATTTTTTATAATAAGATGCTGGGCATTTTATGACCTAGGATGTTTGCATCATATGTTCATATCACCAGGGTATTAAACAAATGACTTTTCATCACCAACAGCATGAGGGAGAAAAGAATGCCAGTTATCTTCATTGTAGCAGGTGGGATTATGATTTTACAATGTTTATATGGCATTTGCTATTTTGTTAGCTATTTCTCATCTTTCTCAGAGGAAATGATATGAAGCATATTTTTTCAATGTTCTGTCTCTTAGGTTTCCTCTTTTATTTTATTTCCTATCAATCGATGGTTCAGATGAAAGGACAAACTGTGTGTCCATACTGGAATAAGGGACACAATAAATAAGTTAGTAAGAGGATTTGAGACTTTTAGAAAAGGAAAACAAAAGCCACGTCTATGCTTCTCTGTTCAGATGAAAGGACAAACTGTGTGTCCATACTGGAATAAGGGACACAATAAATAAGTTAGGAAGAGGATTTGAGACTTTTAGAAAAGGAAAACAAAAGCCACGTCTATGCTTCTCAGGTAAGGGACAAGCAAAGAGGCACACAAAGTATTGCAACTTATGTCCTTCTTAGTCTTGGCAACGTTTCATAAATACTGAGATTTGTCTGATCCTTTTAGAATTTCTAAATGAATAAGTGATTACTAAGACATTCAGACCTGGGCAGGGCAAAAAGTTGGCAAAACAGATACTCCTCCTAAAGATAAATGACTCCTATTCATCTGTTCTATTGAATCCTTACTTTTCTCATTCATTCATTCAGCTACTTATTAAGTACCTGCCATTTCCAGGGTTACGTTGGGCCTTGTTGATATGCTGGTAAACAAAAGAGGGATCCTGCCCTCATGAATTTAATAACATGATTTACTACCTTCAGATTTGCTAAATATTTTCTCATTCATTAAAATACACATATGTATTTTCATTATAAAATTAATATTGTTATTTTTGTTATTTAGTTTGTACTTTATAAGGATGGGAAGCTCTGTTTAGCATAAATGTACGCTATCACAGAGGGGTACATACTAATGCGTGGATAGCGAATTGGTACTTACTCTACATAGTAGATACCATAGACAGGGTCTTCAATCTTTTCCCACCCAGCGGGCAGTTCTGAAAAATAAAAGAATGTTTAGAGCAAAAAGAATATATGCTTGAAGAGCCTGGGGATTATCAACAACTCAGGTAAAAAGAGAAAGACTCATAAAAATGCCTAAATCCAATTAAAACCACGTATCCTAATGAAAAAGGTATTCATTACTTTTATTTTATCAGTATATTTTTCTACATGAATAGCAATTCTTTATTTACCAGTATTTTACTGAAGAAGATAAAGCTTAATAAAATGTAGTCCCAGCTGCCTTTA